AGAAGGGAACCACATCATCCCATTCCTCCCATCCCTCAATGGAAGGGAGGATGTTCAGCGGGGACAAGTCCCAGGCCACTGAAGACAACTGACAGTGTATTCTCAGCATTGAATCTCAGAAGAGTCGGTTGCTGTGCAATTCTGCCTGGACACATGGGGTTATGTCATGAAATGAAAACATAAACAAAGCAAAACCAACAACAACAAAAAAAGAAAAGCCTAAATAAATAAGTAAATAAAACCCTGCAGAAGCTGTCACGTGTAAACTCTGCCGAGACTCATTTCTGCAGCGTCTTTTGAATTGGTGTCAATTTGTTTTTCCAAGACAGAAGCCTCAGCCTTTCATATCAATAACTATGAAAATACATTTTCAGGCCACCTTGCTTAGAGTCCCCCATTATGGCTGTTAGATAACCATCTGCCTTGTAAGTGGCTATTGTTACTGTGAACTGTCTCTTTCATACCATTATCTTGCTGAAAAGCCTTTTCTGAAAGTAGTCCATTAGACCAAGTTAAAAAAACCCTCTGAGCTCGGCCATGTAGCAGAATCAATGGCTCCCTTTGATCTGCAAGCTCAGTCAGTACTACAAATTTAAGAAACAACTAGGTTTTGCTTTGCTAAGCAAAGCCTGTTAATTTGGCTCATCTGCACTTACAGTATCTTACTGGAAATGCCATCTGTATCACATGTTTTGAAGACTTTGGTGCAATATTCGCTTAGCTTAGATAAATAATTTAGTAAGATTCATTAAAAAATAATCAGTGAATTAATTTTCATAGTGTACGTCTATGCATGGAATTTCTAAAATTCAGTCCTCTACTACCCTGAATGGCAGCGAGGATATTCACAGTGGATAAAGAAAATGCTGGTGATTGATGGAATAAGACTGAACATAGATTTTTCTTATTCTAGTCGTGGAATTTCTTCTGAAATCTATTACGTGTGTTTGAGTCCTATTACTGGCAAGAGCAAAATGCATACGCACTACGGGGAAAAGAAGACCCTTTATGTCTGTTGCAGGCCACACATATAGTACAGGAAACTTAATCCTATCATGACAAAAGAAGTCCACAAAAACATCATTTCATGCTACTGAAAGGAAATCTTTTGTGCTGATATATAGGACAAGAATGTATACCACCAAAATCACTGTAGATAGCTATAAAACACTACGCAATATATAGAAATATCCTAAGAACATACAAAACTACCAGCAGTGACCTGAAAGTGCAAAGAGTACATATAACTAAATGCCAAGTCCTGATCTATAAAATCCTTTATGAGTGACATACAAGCTGATAATTACAAAGCATCATTCAGACCACAAAATAACAAATAAAACAAATAAAGAAAAGTATTCTTTAAGAAAATCAAAGCGACAACAGCATTGGGACTGTTATCTTTGGGACTCAGAACACCATTTCTACCTTGATACCTACCAAAGCCAAGGAAAATAGATGCTTGACAGGGTAACGTAAATAAGAATGCAAACCACCACAAAACGCCTCAGGACTATTACCTCTGTATGTCTCAGCCTTTAAATCCAGCAAGTCATTAACTGTTTGTTCTTAGGCATCTCACAGTATTTTACAGGGATCTTTCAGGAATTAAATACAGGTCTAAAGAAAGCCTTTGAACCTCCTTCCAATGATTGTTTTAGGCATTGTGTGGAGTTATACAAATATATTTCTATGAAAATTGAAAGCCCTAGTAAATATTAAATTTTCTATTACCTTTCGAAATAAAAAACATAGATGGCTTAAAGACAAAAGCGAGTTTTATAAATACAAAGTTAATTTGAGCATTAAATTGTATTTTCACTCTCACACAACCATTACCCTGAATCAACGTCAGTATGTCGCAATGATTCAGAATACTGACGCCCTACGACAAGCTACTTTCCCATTTTCCTTTTAAGGATATGATTGTCCTTAAAATACGTACACAGCAAGCAGCCAAACGAACCGCCAAGAGATTTGCAAAATGTTCTTCCACTGGGTGTGTGATAGAAAGCTTGAGAGAGCGACTGGGGAGCACCTGGCCGCAGCAGGCAGCACGGCCGCCTTCCCACCCTGCGCTCGGCTGCCAGCCCAGGGCTCCCCACTCTGCACCGGGGGTTAGCACTGAGGAGGATGCTGCCCGCCAGCATGCAGAGGACAGGGGAAAAACGGGGCAGAAAACAAAGGAGAGAGAGAAAAATGAAGGGAAGCCAAAGCATTTTAATGATGATTTGTGTTAGTCACTACGTGAGAGAGCGCTAGTCTAGTGTCACTCTATTTGTTTCTCGATACAGACATGCCACAATGCAAACAAAATGCATATGATGAGTAATTTGCCACACACAAGTCCTGTAGAGATGGTAGCTGATATCTTCTAGTGGTTTTAAACATGCACCACTCCTACTACCTGTACTCAGTGCTTCCAGTTTTTATGGTACTACCCCAAACTCACCACGTCCTCCCTCCCTCTCAACTTCCAGTACCCTACAGAATCTCTCTGCACAATTTGTCTTGAAAACAAAATGGGGAATTACGATTTTTCTGCAGAGTTGTCATGCAAGGAAAGATGTGTCCCTTACAGTCAGATGAAAACAAAAGAACAGAAAAAGGAATGTTAGGTTTAGGGCTTAGGACCAGGATAATATTCCATGTTCTGTACATTCATCCTTTTGACGGTATTTCAGCTTGAACTTTCTAAAATGCACAAGCAGAGTCAGGCCAAATGCAAATCCCTTTCTCAGGCAAAGGAGATCACCGCCAGCGTGTTTAGAGACAGATTTACAGCACATCCCCTCAGTCTGTGCGTGGGAGTGTGCACACGTGGCCGTGTTCGCATGGATGCGAGCATGCACGGCTGTGCGTGTTCACCTGTGTGCATGGACTCTAGGAGGAGCGTTCTGACTACACATGCATATGTACAACACGTCTGTGTGAGTAGGCATGTAGAAAACCACACACATATACATTAGAAAGAAAACATAAAATAATCTTCTTTGAAGTGTATTAAGGTTCTTACTCAAACCATGAAAACAGGGACTCATCAAGAAAACTAACCCTTTCTCTCTATCCACTGGGGCGTTGCAGTTCAGTATTAAATCCTGTAGTAATTTCAGAACTAGATGCCAATTTTACCCTTGTGACTATAAGGTCATTTCCCCAGTGAACCACACACATACATATATACAACTCTTATTATTCTATTTCCTGGCTTTTTATGGTTTATCTATAACCTTAATATCCTTCAAATGTATATTCTGTATATTTATTTTCCTTTTTTTTTCTTTCAATTTAAGAGACAATAAAACCAACTGCTATGTAAGATCAGACCCATTAGCTTCAGTGATGTGAATTTAGGATTCTCTGCATAATATAGACATGTGTTTTTTAAAATGTATATTATTATTCAGATACACTGGAGCATATATTTTATATTAACTGTGGTCTGATGATTAAATACTTATACCAAAATATTTTGTAAATACATAACATTTACCTTTAGACTTCAGTGATTTTTGGAGCTTTTTCAGTGTATCATAAAAATATGTCCTCAGGCACATTAAAACCCTATTAAATTTCTTTGAAATGTTGTCAATGCCCATGTACAGTAGCCACTATTCAAAAATGTCCTGGCCATTAATACATTTCTCATAAGATCCAAGCTCATCAGATCATTTTATGTACCACTAGCTTACCATATTTCTTCTTCTCTCTTAAAGTAAAATTATTCTGACATTATTAAGAATGAAAATAAAAAGCAATGAGAACCCAAACTTTCTTTAAATAGTCAAAAACTAATTTTATATACTTTAAAAAATAATAATTAAAAAACCTGTTTCTTTCCTGGGTTCCTTCTCTGTAAGGTTTAAGCCCAGAGCAACTTTGTCTAAACCCCTGAAAATAGAGGTTTGCAGTGGCAATGCTGTCAGAACCTCAGCTCTGACACATGGAATGTGCCACTGGAATAAAATCAGCACTTCAGGCTCACTTATCTGGGGATGCATGAGCCCACACAAAACAGAGTTTTGCTCTAATTTAAGGTACTTACACAAAGTTCTATGTTTTAGAACTGTAAAATTATCTACCTATAAAAACTAACTCTTGCTTAAACTCTAGATAATACAGACGGGTGATTTTTTTTTTATAAAAAATCTGTAGCATTGAGTAAATCTGCTAAAATATGTATATATTTACACATGGCGAGCAAGTTATTGTATAAATGTGAACAGTGTGTATATATTGGCATTTAGTAAAATGTTTCCCTGAACCTGATTGTATGCATTATCAGACAAGTATTGATGTAAACATCTGAACCTATGTCAGGTGTCTCTGTTACCCATTTACATTAGACCAGATCAAAACCAACTAGACAGACAAACAAAAATGTTTTCCTGTTAGAAAAGTCCACGTAACTCCTTAGTTAGCTACTGCACACAAGTTAATCAAGTCTGCTGCTGAGCAGTGCTCTCGTTCCTACAGCAGGTAAAATACCTGTTAGGTTGGTTGTTTTTTGCTTGGCATTTTTCCCAACATCTTGTAGAGCAAACACCATTTACGGAGCCAGGCACTCACCCTCCACTCCTCCCCCACAAATGATTGAAAGATAAGTGTACTGGAGAACCTCTCCTGTCGCTCCTTTTGTAACTCTGTTCCCTTGAAGAACTCATGGCACTGCTTTGCATGAGGAAGGATGCTCATTTAGGTTCATAATCCAAGTCCTGCTTCCAAAAAGGCATGTAAAAATGAATCTCCCCAGCGTTCAGTGCTGCAGAAAAAAGATACAAATGTAAAAAAAAGTGCTCAAAAAGAAGTCGACTTTTTATATTCAGCCATACAGTCTAGTAAGAAGGGATTCAGAAGTGCAGGCCCACGGAGTACAGTGAAGTAAGCCTTTTAGGTGCCTTTCTTCAGGTGATGCAAAACTAATTAATTATCTGTGGTCTCCTACGCAGACTTTCACACACCGACCTCGCTGTCTGTCTTTGTCTCCACCTCTTATTCAGCTACTTTTTGGCACTGTCCTGGTACATGGCAGTTTTCACTGCTGTCCCTGCTAAGCCCCTGTTACTGATCCGGCGTACCAGTACTTTAGAGACGGGGATTTTTGTTCTGTGCATCTCGCTTTTGGCCAGGTGATGGTGTGCGACATGATGGCTGTTACTGGCGTCTGCTCCATGCAGGCTGGCAGGATGCGACGAAAGGTGTTTAATGCTGATGGGTATCTTGGAGTCCTTCATTGTGCTTGAGGGTGTTTTCAGTGAGCACGTGGTTGTTATTGGAGACACGGGCTTGGAGCGTGGCACACAGGTGACCTCTTCATCCGTAGGCCCCGCTGGTGGGTTCTCATCCGGTTCGGTGTAGAGGTCGTAGAGAGCATCCCCGCTGTAGCTGTCCCTGGGAATGGTCTCCTTCTGGATGCTTGTGGAACCATCTTCCTCGGGACCAGGGGTGGTGGAATCCCAGTAGCCCTCGTCGCTGTTTGGGACTCCTTCGTGCTGCTCCTTCTCCCTGCCCTTCTGCTCCTCTTTGTGGCTGAGGTGAATGGGGATCTGGTGGAGGCCACCACGTTTTACCGCCACCCTGTTCTGGGCCCCCTCGGTACCTCGGTTCTCCTTCAACCCCTCGGGCTTCTTTGTCCCTCCTCCACCTCCTCCTCCTCCTTCTGTCTGGGTCTCCTCTGTCTGCGACAGCATATCCCAGAACTCCTGCAGGTAGGTGTCGTCCACCTGGTCCGGGCTGGCCATCTCCTCCCCTCCTCCCTGGTAGGCCAGCATGGTGGGGTGCTTCTTGGAGGCACCCAGCTTGCCGGCCCCAGGGGCGCTCTTCTCGCAGCCGCCACTCCCGCCGCCCACATCCTCCTCATGGTCCGCAATAATATCTCCGCAGCCTGTAAGAGAGTCAAAGCTTTTCAGTGAAGTCACGTCAGCAAACATCAAACAAATACGATCAATCGATTGCTCTGAGGGTGGATCAACAGAGGAAGGGTCAGGGGCGGCTGCCGTCTCTTGACCGCTATCACAGTGAGGTTCAACAGGGGGGATAGTCGTTATTGGAATGTCACCTGTTATGGCCGCATCCTTCGCAGTCCCAACCTCTCCGGCGCCCGGGTCCTGTCGCTCTCGGCAGAGCTCCTCGGGTCGCCTTCCAGCGGCGGCGGGGTCCTCCCCGGGCAGGGGGCTGCCGTCCCGCGACTCCCCACCGCCCACTTCGGGCTCCTCGGCCGCGGCGTGCGCCTCGCCGCCGCGCTTCTCCCGCGGCGGGTCCCGGCCCAGGGCTCCCTCG